TTTATCTGATATTCAAGTTAAATGGACATCCTATATTTAATCTGGCAACCGTTTAATCAAATTGGGGGTCAAGTGTCTCTCTGTGCCTCTCCTGCTGCTTCTGTGTGATTGAATAGGCTACAGCTGCTAATGAAACCAGCCCAGAGAGGGTTTGTGTTTTTCGGACAGAGCCACCTGCCGCCCTGAGCTCATTTGGCAGTCTTCACTTGATCTCACTGGGATGGACTTGGCTTTGTTCATATTTGCTCTTTTGCTGGCTCTCTGTGCCTTTCTTTGTTTGTCTGTCTCTCTTTTTCTCATGCTTTCTTTTATGCCCTCTTTCCTATGGGGGTTCTTAAAGGTGGAAATTTGCAAAGTGATGGGGATGGGCCAAGGAGAAGTCTTCTTAGCAGTGTGAGAATGGAGTCCAGAGGCGACCTCACAGGGTCTGCAGGGAGGAGCAGCATCAGGCCCGGAGAGGGCACAGAGAGCCCCAGCTGGCTGGCCACCGTGCACTATGAAAAGGATAACATTTGCCTTGGAGAATGCGCCCTCCAGGGCTGGGTAGGGAGCGCTTATGTGGCTGCTTCACATAGTGGCTGCAGTCTAGCGTGTCGCCAGCTTGAAGGAAATTGATGTCACTTGGTCTTTGATGCTGACAGAGGGAGCTGGCTGCCGTGGACATCAGCCTGTCTTGAGGGGCAGAGAGAATCTGAGCAATCAAAGGCCTTCTGGAGACTTGGACACAGCATCCCCCTAACTGGCCCCATTTGGCTTTCTCTCTTGCCAAGATCACTTTGACACTAAGAATGGAGAGATGGAGGAACAGAAGGCTGAGCTGTGGCCCTTCCCTTCACCTGCCCCTCTGATGGCTGCTGCGCCCGGGCCTACCTCCTCTCCTCCCTGTGCTCTGAATGGAGCCGGAGGGCCTGCTTAAAGGAAGTAGGCCATGGCATTAGATGGGTCTGGCAAAGGAGACTTGTGTATGCTTTGGGGGCTGGTGTTCCTCTTCCTGTGTCCTCAGAGTGGCATGGAGAGTGATGGTGGGGTAGGAAAGCCATCGTTCACCTGGGACCAGCAGGGTGACCCTGGAGCCTTGTGGTAAGGGAGAGGGCATGGGGGTCTTTTCTTCCTGATATGCCCGCATTGCCTTGTGTGGGAACCAGACCTACCTTGTCAGGTTGAACAGGTAGTTTTCCTTCTATCCCAGACCCAGGAAAACCTGTTCCCTGTTTGCACTTGCCAGTGTTTGGCAGGCACAGTACTGGGGACAAGATGTCTGGATAGAGAAGAAAGATAAGGTGGTGCCTCCTCTGAGTTCCCCAGCTGTCTTACATAGCCCTGTGGGGGGGGGGGGTGGAGATTGGCAGGCATGACTCACCCTATTTGATAACTGGGGACACTGAGCTCAGAGACATGACAGACCTGCCCAAAGTCACAGCCAGTGAGTGATAGAGCCTGGCCGTGAGACAGAACCTCCCAGTTCCCAGCTTCCTTTTCTCTCATCTCTTCTCCAGTGGCCTATCTTTGTGGACAGTCACATTCTCCTTGCTCATGCTTTGCACCTTCTCCAGCCCATGGGGCCCAGTGACATTTTGAGGGGCTTTGTGGATGGTGGGGCCAGGCAAGATCCTCAAGGTTCCCAGTGTCAATGAGTGGAGAACTAACCTTGCAGAAGGGAAGTGGGCAGCGTGCTCCCACCGGAGGGCGAGCCGACCGTGACCTCTCATCAAGCTCTGGGCCATGGCTGGTGGGTACTCTGCCCTGACCCCATTAGCTGGGATTTCCTTTCTGACATTGCCCTTCCCAGCCTTGTCTGTCAGTCATGTGACAGGGGCTCAATACATGTTTGGAGGAAGAATGAAGAAATCAGTGAAGTCTGACAGTCTAGGAAAATAGGTACCAGTTGGAGAGACCAAATAGGACAGTATCGGTGTCTTTATACAATTGAGTATGAAATTGCCTGGTCCAGACCATGTGTGTAGCTAGAATACAGAGGTGGGAGAAATCCACACAGCTGGGGTGGTCAGAAAGGGCTTTGTGGGGGAGGACTGCAGGTGGGCCTTGCGGGGGTACTAGGAGGGAGTCAGGCCCTAGTGTGATCACATAGCTTTGGAATGTACTCATGTACTTTGGTTAAGAGATGATTTCAATGCCTCTTGGTGGGGAGGAGATGACAATTGGTGGCTTTGCTTGTTGTCTAGCACCTTCCTTGCCCCACACCCTGCAGGAGCTTGGTTCTGGCTTCATGCTGCCCACCTGCAGCCCAGCCCTCCTTAGTGTTGGGGCCTGACCACATCCCCTTGGCTCCTTTTGGAGGGAGGCATCTGGCCAAAGCAGACAGTGAAGTCCCTGAAGGGCTGTACGAGTCTCCTGTGGCTGCCATAACAAAGTCCCACAAGCTGGGAGCTTAAAAGGGAAATGTATTCTCTCACAGTTCTGGAGGCCAGAAGTCCCATATCAAGGTGTCAGCTGGGTTGTGTTCCCCAAAGGCTTGAAGGAGGAATTTGCTCAGTGCCTTTCTCTCAGCTGCTGGTATTGCCTGCAGACCTTGCCCTTCCTGGCCTTGTAGGGGCGTCGCTCAGTCTCTGCCTCCATCTTCACATGTATTTTCACTGTGTCTGTGTCTCTTCTCCCTTCTTAAGGACACTAGTCATTGGCTGGAGGGCTCACCCTAATCCACTGTGACCTCGTCTTGGTCACGTCTGCAAAAAGCTCATTCCGACGTAAGGTTCCATTATGGTACTGGGAGTCAGGATGCGATTCAGCCCACAGCAGGTGCCTAGAGCTTTTGTTTTGCTTGCCTCCAGGTCTCCTCTACCTATTAAAGTCTGTGTCTCTGGAGGCTAGGAGGTAGGCAGAGGCCACCACACTCACACTGTCAGAATGTCTTCACACACATGTGGGGTGCGCGGTGGGACAGACGCTGCTCTTACCATTTAAGACTGAGTCTTACTCTGCAGGGACTGAAGTCTTGGTTAGAAATGCTGTTTCTCCCTGTTTCGGTGTTGGGTGGTGAGGAGATAGAGGGTAGGAAGGAGGGGGAAGACACCTGCAGGCTTCCTGTTTTCAGGGACGCAGAATGTTGGCTCTGGAAAGACCTTCAGGGGCTTTTGCCCCAGAAAGGGCATCCACCCTGTTGTTCATTCTGGGGCGGGGCCCTGGCTCCACTGCTCAGGAACTCTATGATCTTGGGCAATTTATTTAGCTCCTCTGAGTCTCAGCGTCCTCCTCTATAAAGTGGGATAGTAACAACAATCCTGGTGAGATCTCACAGAGTTCAGGTCTCAGTGTTTGTGAGGATTTAATGATAAATGGATGGATGTGTAAGTTTCTTTTCTTAAATCATTTTTATTGTGATAAGTTATACATTACATAAAATTTACCATTTTAACCATTTTTGACTGTATGGTTTTCAGTGACATTAAATACATCCACAATGTTGTGCAGCCATCACCACCTCCATCTCCAGAACTTTTTCATCTTCCCAGACTGTGAAAATATCTTTTACTGAGAGCACTTTGTATTTCATTTGGTAAACCAGGAAACCGAGTCCCTGAGAAGGAAGGACTTGCCTGAGTCATCCAGTGAATTAGGGGCACAGCTGAAGTGTGAACCCCAGTCCCCTGTCAGTTCGGTGCTCATCACCTTCTGTCTCCCACACTTCTGTGGGCTTCAGGGTCTGGGACACATGAGGCATCATTGGGGTTGAATTCCTCCGCAGAGCTTCCTCTCTCTCCCCCAAACCCTGTCCCCAGGACAAACCAGAATGTGTACCATGGTGGGACACACACAACTGCCTGCTCTGAGAGTGTTCCTATCAGGCTGTCCTGGTCTCTCTCAACCTCTGGTCTCTCTCTGCCTGCTTCTTTCTCAGATGGGACAGAGTTCCGGTGGAGGACCAGGGGAGCTGAACTTGGGGCAACCTTTGGGATGACTTTGTGAGGTGCCTTATGGCGTGGAGAGAGTGGGGGCAGGGAGTCAAGGGCTGCATTTTGGTCCTTCCTATAGCTACCACAGTCTCCTCACTGAGCACCTATTTGTTGAGGCCCTACTGTGTGCCCATCATTGGGAAAATACCAGTGAATGAGACCATATTCCTCTCTACTTGGGGCTTCTGTGAGACACAAATGGTATGATACACGAAGACCCCATGGCAAAGGGCACTCACCTGTAGGAAGTGATGGCAGGTGGGGAGGTGAGATGGCCAGGCTGATGGTAGCCAGGGTGCCAGGGTGGGTTAGATCTGGGTGTTCTGGGCTCCATGTGACCTTCCACATCAGGTGCTGGAGACAGACCCTGGCCAGAGAGCATCTGTTTACCTTCAGGTGACTCACAGTCAAGGAGGGATGTGCCCACATAGTTATGAAGCAGTATTATGGGGGCCAACAGAGAGGAAGGGGTGACAGCAGGTTATATCACCAGGGGAAGAAAGGGCTGATTCTGCCCAAGGGGCAGTTGGAAGGACAGCAGGGGAAGCTTTGCTCTGACTTGGTTCAGAAGAGGACTGTCAGGAAAGCCTATGGGTGTCTCACCCTAGACGGACTCTTTTTTTACCTGTCTGGGGGCTGGCTCCTTTGACCCTCAACTGGATCCTGGGAGTAGCTGGAGCAGGGATTATTGTATGCATTTTGCAGGCAGGAAGAGTGATGTGTTGAAGACCTTGGGCAAGGTCACCCAGGACTGTGGTCAAGCAGAAAGCAGAGCCTAGCTTTCCTTCCTTGGTCCCAGGCATTCTTGGCAAACCCACCCCAGGTTCTTTCTGTCTGTGTTCCTCTGACTGGAAGATCCATTCAGAGCCCACCGTTCCTAAACTGTGTACCTGGCTCTCCAGGAAGTCCTGCCCTCAAGGAGCTCCCAGCCTGAAGTCCCTCAAGGCTTGGTTTCTCCCATGTTCCTCTCCATCTTCCTGGCTTCCTTCTGCCCTGGGAACCTGCAGGCAGGAGCCGCTCTGCTGGAGAAAAGGCGGGAAGGCAGCCAGACTAAACCGTTCTCTCTGTTGGGTCTTCTCCTGACACCAGGTCCCGGCTGGCAGACTTCCACGCCAATTGTCGTGCCTCCTACCAGACGCTCACCAGCTGCCCTGCCGACAATTACCAGGCGTGTCTGGGCTCCTACGCTGGCATGATTGGTAAGCCGCCCCCGCGCACCTGGGCTCTTGGTGGCTCCTGGCTGCCCGATCCCCATGGGCAGGGGGCCTGGCTCAGGGCCAGAGAGTGGACAGCCTGTTGCTTTTCTCTGTGGTGGGAAACCAGAGGAGAAGGCAACCTTTTATCATGGGGGGAGGAGGGCCCCAAGGGCCTTATAAGGCTTTTGAAATGAGAAAGCAACATTTATTACATGGTTTGGACTTTCCAGGTACCGCCCTGAGCAGTTTACACCAACTGTTTTATTTTAATTCTCATAGCAGTACTTATTAGGGGGGAGTTGCTATCTCCATTCTACAAATGGTAAAACTGAGGCTTAGAGAGGTCAAGTCACTTGCACAAGTTCCCCTAGCTAGTAAATGTTGGCACTGGGATCCAAACCCAGGATGTGAACCTTAGTCTCCCTGGCTCTCGAACACAGGTTCTGCTTGCTGGTGAAGAAGGCAAAGGCCCAGGGAAGCAGGGGGCAGGGTGGTGACTCCGGGATAGCTCCTCTGCTATCTTGCTCTGTCCTCAGTGTCCATACCCCTCTGCTCCCTGTGGCCGTGACTGCATGGTTGCTGGGATAGTAACGGTCTGTTTGTTTGAGTTTGGAAGTATGTGTGTTTGAGGGGGCAGGTGGGAGGAAAGGAGAGTTCCCCAGCCTCTTCTCTGTTGTGTCTGGGGCCTGGGGCCAAAAGAGAAGGCCTCACTATTCCTCTTTCCTTTGCCTTCCCTTTCTCCCTGCCCAGGGTTTGATATGACACCCAACTACGTGGACTCCAACCCCACTGGCATCGTGGTGTCCCCCTGGTGCAGTTGTCGTGGGAGTGGGAACATGGAGGAGGAGTGTGAGAAGTTCCTGAGGGACTTCACCGAGAACCCGTGCCTCCGTAAGTCCGAGCAGGCCCTCCCCATGCCTCTCAGTCCCAGAGGGGCCCTGGAGGCCTGCCTTTGCCATGCCCTTCTCTCTCCATTGGGATGGCCAGTGATAATCTACAGGGCTTCCCCAGTGACCCATGGAGAACTTGGGTTTTGTGCTCTTGGGGACTCATCCTACTGAATAGTCAGTAGGCCAGCCTGAGTTTACCACTGGAGGATTTGAGCCTATGTCAGGCCAAGGTCGAAGATTTCTGGTCTGTTATCCTGAGAGCTTTAGCCAGGTTCCTTCAGGGACAGCCGTATGATGAGGATCTCAGCATCTGTCACTTGTCCCCTTAAGGATTTGTTTCCCATTAGAATTGGTGACTTGCAAGTCCCAAACTGCTAATTAAAGGCTAGAGAGAGAGAGGTTAGCCACAGTCTGCCTGCCTCGCTCTTTTCAGTCTGACACTCTTGCCACCCACCCACTTGAAACATCTCCCGCCTTCCTTCTGTCCTTTCTTCCTTCCATCCATCAGTCCATCCTCCCTTTTTGTATGGCACTGAGGATTCAGAGAGATGAGCCATGGTGCCTGCCATTGAGCAGTGTGGAGTCTGATGGAGGCACACTGTCAGGGGGGGTCACTGTGACCACAGTATGGAGTGAGTGATACTATGGTGGAGGTCAGTACAGGGCACTTTAGGAGCCCAGACTAGTGATACCAGTCAGCCTGGAGGAGGAGGCCCTGAAAGCTCCTCAGAGGCTGGCCCCTTGAGGGAGAGTGGGCATTTGTCAGCTGACGAGGCAGAGAGGGCACACCGGTCCACCCTTGGCAGGGCGGCTTGCAGGAACTGTGGACTATGGAGTCTTGCTGTAGAGCATGAGGACGCTGAGGGTTATCTGGACAGGGAGAGGGAATCCTCCTCATGAAGGGCCTTGCAGTCCTAAAAGTGTTAGGATCTTATGGTCCTACAGGTGGTGGAGGTGGGGGTGCAGGTCACTGAAGGGGAGTCAGCAGGTGGCATTGTGGGCAGACCAGCATGCAGATGGCCTGTTCTCTGGTTCTGGTGTGGAGGGTTGGGGCTGTGGTTCTGACAGGTGATCCAACACAAGTGTACTCAGAAGTGGGGGAGCAGCTATTCCCAAAGAGGCGGTGTGACTGAGCTGGAGCAGTGGTGGGCAGGAGAGAGGAGAGATGGAGTGCACAGATCTTTAGGCGATGGGCTCAACTGCCAGCAAGTGGGTGGTCATGGAAGCATGGTGGGGGGCTTGGGTGGGGAGAGATGACCTCTGCAAGACTGTAAACATGGGCAGAAAGCAGTGATGCAACAGGAGGGAACGATGCCTTGTTGGGGTGTAGACGTGATGAACTTAGGTGCATCTGGGATTTGGAGGTGGAGATTTCTGGAGGCACTTGGTTCCAGGGTCATGTCTTGGGAACAGTTTGGTCCAAGAAGTCCCATTATTTAGTCTTCAGTGCACTGGTGTTGATGGTATGGGAGTAGGTGAGGCCACCGTGGAGGATGGCTGAGTCTGGGGCTCTTGGAATGCCATTGGCAGGACCTGGAAGCATCTGAGGTGGCAGAGGAGCCAGGAGAACCTGTGTGGGGGGTGGAGAGTGGGGCAGGGGTGGGGCAGGG